TGACGGCTGTCCTTCGGGCACTTGAGTTCTCTGTGCTTTCTGTGGCAGTATGGTCTCTGTCTGCCCGGGCCTTAGGAGCTGCTGGGATTGCAGGTAAGAGGGCGAAGGGAGGGGATGACTCCACTCAAAGCCAGACAGTAAGAGAGTAGACAGCAGAGCGGTAAGAGTATGGGGAGAGAGAAATGCAGGTGGTTGTGTATGTCTAGGTGGCTGAGCCTGAATTCAGATGTGGAAGTAACACAAAACCAGGTGTAATGCAAGTGAGAGTAGAGAGAGGGAGATGAGATTAAAAGAAAGTGTGGTTGTTGCCTCTCCACCTGGCCATAAAGCACCCCATACTCTTCCCCCCCCCCCACCCCCCCCCCCCCCCCCCCCCCCCCCCCCTCCTTCCCCCAGGCCTTTGTTTCACGGCTAATGGTCCAGGTTAATTGCACAGGTGACTCTCTGTGGGGGAACAGATGGGCTCAAATGTGTTCAAAAACAATCTGCAGCAAGCAAAAAAAAAAATAGCAACGACTTGTTCCTCTACTTTTGAGTCTTCCTTTTCTTTCTAATCATCTCTGCTGGAGTCGTGGAGGGCGACTTGGGTGAGGTTAAACTCTCATTGCGTTCTTCGCTCACAGTGGTTTCAATTCATCAAGCACAAGGCCTGTAAGCACTCATTAGATCTCATTACAGTGCAAATTAGACTCAGGAATTGGCTACTGGAAGAGTGGATAGTAGTGGATAATAGACATATCTCCTATGCCCAATGTTCCTAAACACTTTAATTTGTTTAAGGAGGAGCGTACTACGCGTATATAAATTCAGAGGATATAGCTGTGATTGATTCAAATATGTGACTATGATAAATGTCATTATTTTGTATGCTTACACTGTTATTTATCTTTGGAATTAACATGCCACTGGTGCTGCTAGTTTCACTCGGGGCATAAAAGATGTCATAATTTGCCATTATATTAGAAACCCATGTGTATCAGACAAAAGCTTTCATGAATTCCAAGAATTATTTGGCTCTCTTTTCCCCCATGAATCATGAAGGCTGCATGTGAGCCATCAGAAGTTGAGTTCTCTATCGATCTACTGTGTTTTTTTCTTACCTGCACAACATGCAGGAGATGACAGATAGCAAATTGAATTCATGAACAAGCTTTGTTGACACTGCAGCACAATTATAGGAATGCCATGCTTTTGGTGTTTAAGAAAAAAGCCCAGCATTTCAGTCATCTGCTTGGATGATTGAGTGAAAGGCTTTGTCACGTTTTTGAGGCGACAGCTGTTCTTTTACTTGTACTATATTTTGATTGTTGTCGATGACTGATTGTAATTGGCAGACATAAACAAATAAGATGTCAGGTTTTGCATAATTTAAGCTTGTTTGTTTGATTCCTAATTGGTCCTTGGCTGTGGTTTTAGAGCTTGTGTGGGGGGCTTCGATGATGCATTGGTTTTCTGAAAGACTTGGCTAGATTCCTGTGTCTCCTCTAACTGATCTTGCCATGAGCAGCCGTATAGGTCATCCTGCTGACATTAGTTGGACTGTGCTCTCTATCTGCCTCCCTCCAACTATCTATCCATCCCTCTCTGTCTTTGTTTGTCAAACGCTCATTTGCCATCTGAGAAATCTGTCCCATAAATTTACATTAGTTAAGTGGAACCAATAGTCTTACAAATATACAACATGCGGATCACTAGAAATGTATAGGCAGGTTTTTAGTGTGGGTGAGTCTGTGTTCCTGTGCTTGCATACTGCACTGTATGTTTTAGAAATAATTAAATGTCACAGGGCTCAGGCCGTCAAGTAGCCAGGAAGGTGTTTTACGACCTTGAGTCTTGCCTCGCTTCACTAGCCTCTCTCAATAACCCACTCCACCGCACTGACTGGGCACCCAAAGAAACACTCTTCACTTTTCTCTCTAGCTTCCTTCTTTACTCTGTCTTTCTCCCTGTATTCTGCCTCCTCTCGATATACTATTTTACAATGTCTGTACTTATTCTTTTTTTATCCCTCCCTTTCCTCCCTTGCAACTGTTGACACTTGACTTTGTGTCCTGCTCCTGGGATTGGTGAATAGTACATTGCAGCCGCTTTCTTCCACTTTTACTGTAGGTACTTTTTTTTCTTCTTAGAGAAAAACTAATCTAGTGTGTTAAGTTTATATGCCAATCCTACTGAGAGCACATTGCTCTTGTTATCCCTTCTAATTAGAAAATGTGATAGTTCCACTTGTAAATATTGCAGAGTGAGCCAATCCCCAAAGCTCACTTCACTGTTGCAATTGGCACAGCCTCTGGGTCCACCTGATATCCAGGTAAGGTGAGGGGGGGACTATGGTGGACTGGAGGTAGGCAGGCAGGGATCAAATGGAAAGATATGGAATAGGTACACCATCTCTCTCTGGGAGGTAGAGTTTCACAGAGCTTTATTTCTGCTCTTAAAGGTTTAACTGTTTTAGAAAGTACCTAAAAGTGCAAAAGCCGCAACCATGTTCCACACTTCCACAAGATTTAATAAGATCATTAAAGGACCCCGAGGCTGTCTGTTGAGGTGCCCACCAAGGTGTTTCATCACTGGAAGGGTTTGTCAATGTCTTGGGTCTTAGCCCGTCTTAACCCATTTAGAAAGCAATTTCCTGTGAGCAGAGGGGATCTTTCCTCTTGAGAAAGATCTTTGGGCATAAAAGGTTAGCTTTTCTGTAATTCCCCCTGCATGCAATCTACCACTGCTGCTAATGAGAAGAGGATGAATATTTGCCCTAGGTTTAACAGCTCAAAATAAGACAAGAGTAATTGCGGGAACGTGGCAGAAATGTCTGCTAAAGTGGGCAATGTTACAATAAGTGATGAAGAAAGTTTGCTCTGAGGATTGCTGGAATAAGTGTCGTCAAATAATATTCAGCTTTATTTCTTTGTTAACTAAGGGCTTACCTTGTCTATGTTATATATACACACAAATGCATATATATATAATATATATATATAATAAGTTCATAGTTTGAAGGCTCATTTGTGAGGAGTAAGGCCTGCTCGAGTTTAAACTGCGGTCCAATAGGACATAGTTAATTGAGCACTGTGGAGTGACTGGGGAGTATGTTTCCCACTTTAGTCATTTTGGTTCTTTGTGTCTGCAGTCCTCCTGCTGAACCCCAGTCTACTCGGGCTCACAAGCCATTACGAATGATGAATTGCGCTACAGTTAAGCTAGAAGTAGGACAAATTGATCAAAGTGGCAGGTGCCCCCTGTGATGTCTAGGTCTCCATGAAGAAGGCAGTGAAGAAGGGGCTGTCAAAAAGTTTCTTGTGCCAAGGTGGTTGTGGATAAATGTTTACCTGCCACTTAACACGTTCTACCTTTTGTCAGACTCACAGTGTGTCCTTGCTAGCCTACATAAGAATAAGTAGCTAAAGATCCTGGGAGTTGATACGGTTATAGTAGCTGCAAGATATTGTTCTTTTGGTCCAGAGCAGACAAAACCCATGCCCCCCCCCCCCCCCCCCCTTTCAAACCAATGAGCATGCTATCTGAGGTGTAGTGCTGCAATTTGAGATAAGCACTACTTGGCTTGGCTTTGGTTTTGTTCTGATAAAGCTGGTCTAATTAAGCTTGATTTAATCGGAATTGCTTTTAAGCACAGCACACAGCCGGAACAGATACTTTGATTTCAAAGTAGCCCTTGGGAAGGACTTGAGGAAGAAAGAGAAGGAATGAGATAGAAAGCAAAATTAGTGTGAGTACGAGTGAAGAGTTCTTTTTTTTTTTAAATTTGCATCAGACATGTTTCTATTCTTAGTTGTACTGTCTCCTTTTACTTGCTCGATTGATTGCAGGTTAGGTGGTTTGTTGCTGGATGAGAAGGGGAAAACATGTGCAATGCTGAATTTCTCTGGTAATGGCAAAATAAAAGCGCCATTTCCTTAAATTTACCGCGTAGCATTCCGTGTCAACGTGTTTTGTTCATAAATTCAATTTGCCCATGTGTCGTGTCTCTTTGAGCACACGCGAGTAACAAAAGATTGATCACCCCCCAGCGTCTGGAAAAGTGCTGTGTGCTCAAAGTAGCAGTTGTCTTCACTTATTTTTTGAATCTTTCCCCTCAGCCATAGCTGTAAGCGCAATAGAGAAACAAGATTCCTAGACCCTGATGGTAAACATTGGGGAAGAGCTAGTTCACTCATGTACGCAAAAGAATTGATGGCCAAGTCTCCAGCTCCACAATAAGTCACCCTAATGATCCTAGTTTAAAATAATGTCTGTTCTGGACCAGAATGATAAAAGGGGTGCCCCTCTGACTCATTAGTATTGGAGCGTAAAGATAGATGACCCAGATATAGAACCTAAGCTTGTTTCTGAACCCTGTTTCCATTGAGCAGTATGCTCCATGTGCACAGTGTGGCCACAGCTTGTCAGGCTGTTGGCCTCATAGCACTTCATAGCACTACACATCTTTTCAGCCATGCTGACTGACTCCAATTCTCTAGTTTCATGGATCTACATGACAGCTGGAACGGCGGGCCGGGGGAATGTTTTCGAAGGCTGGTCCTGGTGTCATTGACTGAACAATGATAGAGCGCCGAGTATTGAGCGGGCTCCACACTAAATCTTTGTAAAGAGCACTTAGCTCCCCTGTGTTAGCCACAGAAAGAATATCTGTCAATGACCATCAGTGGATGCTTTCATCCTGAGGCTCCTCTGCCTGTATTAGTTGCTAAGCTCTAAGTGTATTTTTCCTCCTCCCCAGCTGTGTACTGAAAAGGACAGACCTGAGTGACAGGCCTCTGTCTCACTCATACGCTCTATAAAAGGCTTGTTTATATCACGCTAAACTCTCTCTTGCAATCTTGTAAGGTGATTGTTCATGCACCTTTAATTAGAAGGCATCCATTGCTTCCACTCCCAAATACCTAGAATTAGACCTTGAAGTATCTGTGTTTATGTTCATGTACAGTAATGTTAATGTCGTCCTGTAAACAGCTGTGCCTCTGTTATCTGTTCTCTTACAGAAGGAGATGAAACTGGTGTGATGGATAGCCTAATGGAAGCCCTACAGTCCGGAGCAGCCTTCCGTGATCGACGAAAACGCACACCGCGCAATGGTAAGTCATTAACAACAATGTATTTATGTCCCAATTCCTAATTTTTGTTATTTTTGTCAGTCTCATCTGTCTGCAGATTCCTGTGAGTGTGTGTCCTTTTAATTGGATTTTAAGGATTTGTGACTGACATAAAACACGAACAAGTACGGGAACTTATGCACCTACAGGAAGATGTCGTAGAAACAAGCTCGCATGTGGCCCAGTGAAGGTCATGAGCGATTTATTGTCCCTTTGCCATTCATGAAGCACTTATTATAATGTAGTCATGCTGGGTGCAGTTGGACTGAGAGTGATTTAGTGTAATCCTGGTGTTTACACATTACCTTCTGCCATGTTGAATGGCCCGTACCCAGAGGAGTACCACCTAGTAGGGGTACCAGGATCAATTCATATGCAAGTCAGAGTTCTGCAGACGAGCTACAGGTACTGCCTGATCTCCACACTGGCAATCATGACAGAAAAAACAGGAGGTGAAAAAAAAAAATCAGACCAATTGCTGGATTGGATGGTTTGGCAGTAGACAGACGCCACACTGCGAATCAAGCTGTGAAAATGAGCATTCATTTTAAAGTTAAGCGGGTAATCTTTTGTTGAACCCATATTTTTAGATTGTTGCTGATCAATATTTGCATTTAGAGATCTTGTAGAGTCATAATACAATTCATATAATTCAGCAGATAGACTCTGACTATGTAATGCAGATTGACTTGCTTTGAATAAGTGTTGAAGTTACTTATTTTCATTAATCGCGTAAAGTCTTTGTAGAATTCTCTGTTGGTTTACAAGATATGGTGCATTTAAATCGATACAAAGATGATTAGCAGTAACGGAAAAACAAGCCATGTCCTGTGTGTTTTTTAATTTGCATTTGGCAGTGAAAAGGTACCTGATTGGTGACATGGCCAGGACATATTGGTCCGGTCGTTTCCACCAAAAGGGTTTTTGCCAGACTCTGGGGGTGGTTAATTCCTGCCAAATATCTGAGCTGTGTCACTTCTGATGCCTTTTTCTCTTTTCCATTTTCTCCATCCTTCCCCTCTTCTCTTTTTAATTTCTTTTTCTTTTATTTTTTTCATCACCAACATTGTTACAGGTGATCAAAGCCCTTCCAGTCCATCCTCTCGGTGGCCGGGTGCTAACTCTGGTAACAGAACCCTAGGTGTGTGTATTTAACTACCATTTAAATGCCAACCCAGCACCAACCCCGCCTCCTGCTGCATCACCCATGCATCCTTCCTGTCAGAAAATTCACGCTGAGCTGGTTTACAACATGCAGAGTCCTGTGCTGAGTTACTAAATTTGACTTAGTAAATCATGAAAAGGTTTAATATGGAAGATTTACTCTGTGTAAAGCCAGGACAACTTTAGCTGGATGACAAATTTGAATTAAAACTAAGACAAAACCTGGTTCTTATTAACACACACAGCTCACTGAAAAAATAAATATTATATAGCAACTGTCACAGACGATATGATGTCCTGTGTTTATGGATAAGATCAAGTCAAACTATTCCACAAAGAATTGTGGAAATCTGAGTAGATGTCAACACCAATACAGGTCACATCAAATCAGTGTTAACAAAAGTCTACCAACAGAAACTTAAATAATGCAGCATATTTCATATAAATCCCATTAAAATGTGCAGCAGTAGAGAAGAAAACTCCGGACTAAGCCTTTAAAGTACTGCTTGTACTGCTGAGTTATATATGATGTAAATCTTACATTGAATACCTTTAGTACAGTAAAGTACACTCGTACTGAAGTTGCCCTTGTGTTGGCCCCTTCATCTCAAATGTTTAATCTTGTAACACTAATACTTGAAGAAAATCATTTTTGGTTCATTCGGCATAATTTCTGTCTTGTAGAGCAGCTCCAGTTATCATCTAATTGTCTTGCTTTTCCTGTTAGCCTGTGCTGTCAAAGCATGATATCACTTCCTGTCTTGTGGCAATTTGATGACAGTGTATGTCAAGAGCATGTAGAGTGGGACGCTGAACAATTTTAGTAATTAAAGTAATTTTCACCTCTGAAAAAAAAAGTGTGCGCAGATGAATGTCGATTGGCTTCCCTCTCATTTTCTGGCGTCATCGATGGCGTGTTTCGCGTCACCTAGCGGACTTTTGCTGGCGGATGGGTGGGGAGCTCGGACGCTGGCAGCACATTAGGAGGCCAGGCGCAGTTCGTCTCACACACTGCCCACGCTGCAATGACCAAAAATTATTATTGAATATTCATTTTTAACAAAACACATAGATTCGAACTATTTGACTATCAAATATATTTTTGCGTATGATGTCCATGACACAGTGTCCTAACTGGACAGTGATCCGTTTTGAGCTGAACTTTTTGTGGACGCCCGCCCACTGGCGTTATTGTCATTTCCAGTAATTATCACATCAACCTTGTGTTTTCTGTTTAAAACGAACAAATGTCGGAAGATAGCAAGTTCAGCTCACCCAGCTTTTATATGGTTACGTTTCCAGTCTGATCTGGAGCACACAGCTGATAGTTATGGGCTTTGTACATGACGTAATATTGCGCTTGCTGAGACCTTGTCTCTTTCTCACTGTGGCCGAGTTCTCTGCCATCATTATGGTTTTTTACAATTGAATAAGAATTTCCATTTTCAAATATCTTTATTTGAATATATATATTCAAATTTAGAAAAATTTAAAAAGTGGAGCATTACTTCTTTGTTTGGAATAAGCTATTGGTAGTATGCTCGGTGAGGGAGTACCAATTAAATACCGTTAGGCTCACCTCTATGCACAACAGCATCTCTAGAACCAAACTCCTGGACAGCTTTCCTCTGTTGTCCAGAGTTGACATCCTATGTGACAGTCGCAAGGTTGATGGCACTTGCTATGTCCAATTTTTAAATGACATGAGGGTTGAGAAAGGCTCTGACTGACTGTAACTGTGTGGCAGTTTGGAGTGTCAGGCCTTCTTGTCGTCCTTGGAGAGAGACGACAAGAAGCATGAAGTTAAGCTTGCAATGTACCAATTTCAGTTGTACCCTTCCCCTATGGTTATGAACTCTGGGTAGTGATCAAAAAAGTAGTTCATGGGCAGGAATGGCAGGTTTCCTGTGCTGAGTGTCTGGTTTCCTCCTGAGGAAAAAAGCCCTCAGTAAAAAGTGCAGCTCTTTTGTGCTGAAGAAGTCAGTCGAGCTGCTCTGGGCATCTGATCAGGATGCTTTCCTGATCATCTTTCTTGATCTGTTTATTCTTGACGTGTCCAAATGGGAAGAGACCCAGACCAGGAACTTGCTGGTTTGATTCACCCTGCTTGGATGTGGCTGGTCGGATGCTACCCGGACCCTCATAAGTACCGGTAATATCCGCGTGCACTACATTATGTGTCATGAAATAATTGTAAACTAAACACTGTCTGTCTTTGTTTATGAATATACTTTATATTTGATTGGACATTTTATATTTTCCTATTGTTAACGAGACAACCAAAATGACTGTGCTCCTTATGATGGTTCTCTCTCCTGCATGGCATTGTGCATGATACCCTTCTCAGTGCACTTTTTTTCCAAGTGAGCATCACTACGCTACCAGAATGTACTATGCACGGTCCCCTGATATGGACCTCAAAATGTGGTTTGATAAACAGCTGCATGGATTCTCCACTCTAAAGTGATGAGAGGGGTAAATCCTTTTGACATGCCGGCTCCATGGATTTTTTTTCTAAATGGAATCTGGAAGTGACTTCAGTTGTTATAGAGTATGGGGGAATCCTATGGTTCCTCAGATCGGAAGAGGAACCATAGGAT